CTCCCCCCGCCTCTCCTCCCCCCTCTACTCGCACCTGCCGCCGCACGCGCCGCTCCGGGGATGAATCGTATTTGTATTTCTCACGCGCGTCGCGTGTCGCCGATAAGGGAAAAGGGTTGCTCTCGTGGGAGGATTGCTATCCTCACACCAGGCAGGCGTATGATCGAAAGCATAACATTATTTTCGTTCCCTCGAGCCAAAGGTGCGCACGGCCTGCTCACTCCCGCTTTCTGAAAGTTTCAGGGCTCCGTCTGTTGCTCTATCCCTTGTCTCTCTCGCACTACAGGTGGGCATGCATTGTTCTAACGTCCTCGTCAGCGCCATCTGTCGGGTGGTCGGGTTAGATTTCAGCTCCAGCCGTTCTGGACTTGAAGATTCAAGGTCAAGGTTATCGCGGAACGAGTCGTTTCAGTCTGGTTGAAGTCGTCTTCGTTATCTTGAATGTTGCCTTTTGATAATTGTATTTTTATTTACGTTACACTTTGCCTTTACTGAAAAGTCTTTGGTTGCGGTGCGCTGCGTTCTTTCGATCTCGTGCAAGTTTTGATCTAACCTCACTAGCGTAGAGACACATCTCGTGCAGATGAGAGTCATGTTCTTTGCTTCATTTGGATTGAGCATTGACTTTTGTGATAATTGACTTTTCCGATCGCTCTACTGGACTACGCCCTACGTCGACTTCATTATATTCTTCGGAACTTGTCAGGTCTGTTGAAAGTGTTTGCTGTTGTCGGGGTATTTGCATATATTTGCATATATTTGCATATATTTGCATATATTTGCATTATAAGTTATATATGTTTGCACTCCGTGGTATTTTTATGAACATCAGAACCTCCAATTTAAATCTGCTTACTTTTGTATTGTTTTCCATTTTGCAGTTTTTTTAAAAAAATGCGTAGATTCCCATGGAAATACTTTAATAATGCGGATAATGCCACTTTAAACTTCTGGTTTTAAAAATGCGTTGATTCCTATGAAAATATTTTTGATAATGTTACTTCAAACTTCTAGAGCAACTAATTTGATAAAGGGTTGTGATCCCTATGTAGCCATTCCTCAGCCTCACTGTCAAAAGTTCACCAAGGCAGACTTAAAGTTTAACCTATTTTACAACTTCTGTTCTAGCGCAAGGACTTCCTCTTCATTTCTCCTTCTGTAACACACAACTGTTAACTGTAATTATGTAATTATATATAGTCATGCATAGACTGGAAAACAAAACCAGAACATAACCATTTAGAGTTTTGTACCATCATTGCAAAAAGAATGGAACCCTTTTGCCATCAGAGGGGGTAAATTCTTGTTGTGATGATGGTGCATCTAATATAAAGAGTTTTCAGTGAACCTGTTAAATACTTGAGCACTATATTTATTTTATAAAAAAGCATTCCGGGAAAGCTGAAATGCAGAAGAATATGGGGAGCAAGAAAACGGAAGTCACCATGTTGAAGCATAGTGATTTACGTTTTCTTCTTCCCCGCATTCTTCTGCACTTCAGCTTGTGCTTTATTGCTTTATTAGTAATGGCAACCACTAACGATATGTAGTCATTGCATCAGTAGCCCTTTGACCATCTCCGACGCAGTATTGTTTTATGTTTTATTCCTTTTTGGACGGCTAGGACGGGCTTAGCGGAGCTGGGTGCGCCATGTGGCGTGCAGGTGGCCTACCTGCCGGGGGGTTGATATGGCGCTGCCGCCACTTCAGATCCACATTCGTATCGACGTGTGCGACCATACGTGTGGCGATAGGCGAGGCGACACGCGGCGGCTGATAAGCGGCGGAGGGGATCACTGCTGGGAACACCTCACCGAAGCTTTCCAAATAAAATCCCTCCCGAGCAGGTCGTTGGCTCAGCTCAGCTTAACTCCCTTCTCGAAGGCTGGGGCGTTTTCTGCGACATTTTGTGAATGGCACGCTGATGAACGTCACGTCACCCCTGCGACCTTCCGCTGACCCTATCGCGGGCCGACCTTCCAGGACCTGCACGACCTCCGCCAGGCAGGCCTGCGGACACCCGTTTCCTCCGGGGTCCGCTCCCCCTCGCCTCCCTCCCCGGGCCGTGCTAATCTGCAGAGCAAACACTGCTGCTGATTGGGTGCCGTTCACTACTTGGCCGTCAAGACGCCTCTGCTGCCCGCCAGGCCCTCTGCTTGCCGACCGGCACCGGACGGCACAAATCAAACACCAGTTTTCATTAAAGGCTACCCCCCCCCCCCCTCCATTCCCCCCAACCCCAGTTTCCTCAGCGGGGACCTCATGCATCCTCTGGGGCTCAGCAACCTGACCACCTGCTGCTGTCGGCGGAATGGCACCAAACGAGTGTTTCTGCTTCTGAGACTTTTGCTTCATGTTTCGCAGGGCCCTGTGTTATATTCAGTTAAGAAAAGTCTACGCCCCGGGGCGCGCCGCCCCCGGTAGACTTTTCTTAGCTGAATATAACCCTGCTGGGGCGGCCGCTGCACCGACACCGACGGGGCGCCACGGGGCGACAGCCGGCAGCTGCAATAACAAGTGCATCTTGCAGAGCGCTCGGAACTGCGTAAGGTGAGTGAAACATGCTAACGCTGTAAAGACTTGGTGTAGGACTGGAGTAAGAACTTAGTAGTGTAGGTCGCCGCGGCCTCGGTGACCGCGGCGCCACGGCGGTATCCTCGCGGGTGGCCTGCGGTAGGCAACCTAGGCAACACTACATACAAAATGCGCGATCGACTGCCGCCCTGCCATGACTTGTAGAGGATATCTCGACCCGGACGCGACCCGACCTGACCCCGGCGTGCACACGGGTACATGTAATGGCTGCTGCCTGGAATTTATGCGCTTATACGGCGAACGCCCCTGGAGAGCCGCGCACGGGGCCTTTGTGTTGCCGGACGGGGAGGGGCGTAGGTCACGGAGAAGTTGATGCCGGAAGGCTGCCGGGCGAAGGCGGCCGGGCCCCCTGCTGCCCCTGCCCGTGGGCGCGGCGGCGGCCGCGGCGGCCCTTGGGCTTATTCGCGATGGGGAGGGTGGTGAGCGGGAGCGGGCCCGGCTCGGGGGGCCGCGCCCTCTGGCATGGCGCAGCTGGCGCGGAGGTGCGTCGCGTAGGCCCCGGGGCAGAGCAGATCAGAGCTGCTAGTAGCCTCGACAGCGTCGCGTGAATCAATAAAAACTCTCGCGTCCTGGACCGGGCAGCCTCCAGCGCCATCTGTAGCCCGCGCCCCGAGGCTGGGCTGCGTCGGACGGGTAGCTCAGGTGGCGGCAGGTGGTACCCGCCTCATCTCGTCCTGGATGCTGCGCCCGGCGCGATCTCGCGGGAGGAACGCCAAGCCCATCGCTGCCCCTTGCGCCGCCGGAGGTTCGTGCATTGCCCGCGCGCCGCACCGAGGGCAGCAGCGTCGCGGTGCGCGAGTACCAACCTGTGGACGTTGTGCCCCTCGATAAGCCATGTAAAGTCGCCGGGAGACGCACCCCGCGTCCCCGGATTTGTGCGTGGCTGGGCTGCTTTGTGAATGCCGGGTGCCCGGGAACGTCACCACACCCCCACCCCACCCAC